GGTGAGGCAAAGACATAAAGTGTAACTATAATGTTTGTACCCTCACAATACCCTGGAATAATAAAAAAAAAAAAAGTGCAAGGCGCACCACCCGAAGGATGGACATATTTGAAACTCGGACTTAGGGGCGGAGGGGGGGCAAGGGCAACATATGTAACCTAAATGTCTGTGCCCCTATAATATGCTGAAATAAAAAAAAAACAAAAACAACGGAAGACGGGGAATTAGAGTGCACGTACACGTTGACTAGAAAAAGGGTAATGCAACAACAGTCTGGACATGCCAGAAGGCCACCTGCAGTTTCACGTGCCATGAGGTGAACAGGCCAAAAAAACGGGTTGTGACGCTGGCTGCGGTGACTGGTCCTGGGGAAATACCAGTGCTGCTACGCCATGGGGACAGGCCAGGGCGGGGGCTATAAATGAAACTCAAGGGGTCTGCTCAGGAGCCTGAGCCTCTTCCTCCTCCCTCCTCCCTGCTCCGGGGCTGGAAGTTAAAGGGAGACTACTGCAATCGTGCATACAGGTGAGACCACCTTGGTCTCTGTGCCCTCAGGAAGGAGGGACAGGGTCACGGCTTGTATATCATGCCCCATCCAAGGTCCGGGCTGAAGAGTGAACCTGGAATGGAAACTGGAAGTGGGAAGCCTACAGACCACCCTGGGTCTCTTCTCTAGGGGAGCAAACGAGAGCTGCAGCCTTGCTTACACTTCCTGTGCCACGTGTCTATTTACATATTTGAACTCACCGCCTCTCTCTCCTCTCCCTTCACCTGTTCTGTTGTATGTGGGGTGCACGATGGCGGTTAACTTTACCCCTCAGCCCAAAGATTACAGAAAAACGAGATGGGATTGTGACTCAGCTGGAGGACGTGACTCAGAGATGCCGAGTGCAGGAATTGAAAAACACTGGGCTCACTCCCTTCGGAAAGGGAATGAGTGGAGTTTTGATTGTACAGGAACAGTGACATATTTTATGCAGAAAGTTTTTTTTTTTTTAAGGGAAAGTAGGGGATTTAGAGTATTGTAGATATTGAACTGCAAAAGAGTAAGGCTGTAATGAATTTGATAGACTTTCTCTTTCTTCTTTTGGCTCTCTACCATCTGAACTCATTCCCAAATCTGGAAAATCCGTTATTATGTCAGTCTTGGTAAGGGGTAGGACCAGCTAGTTCATGGACATAGGATCTAAGCTCTGGCAGCCGGCTGTTCCTGTCCAGAATCTGAATGTGGGGCCAGGAAACAAAGAACAGGATCAGCTTAGAGTCTGTGCTCGTGGCGGCGGCGGTGGCACGGAGGGCTTTCAGGAGAGGCGTCAGTGTCGAGGGGCCAGCACTGGGGCCGTGGCACCTAAACCAGGCCGCTTTCCAGGTAGGACTGGGCCATGGTCCCAGACCTCGGGCTTTCTTGGATCCAACCGATTTTCAAGCTTGATTCTCCTGAAGATCCTGCGCATTCCCTAATCGCCTTCCATTCATCTCCTTTTCTGTTTAAGTAAGCTGGAGTTGGACGCTGTCGTTTGCAACCAAGAATCTGACTAGCCCTTTGCATCCGAGCTCTCTCCTTTGCCTCCCCTGGTATTGGGTGGGGGAGATGTTAGCTCCAACTTCAGTTAGCTCTCGTCATCCCTGGAAGGAAGCAGCTCTGAGAAGGACTGAATGTAACACTAGTCATCCACAACAATATCCCCTTTATTGATATTTATCACAGTTATGAGGTCTCGTCCATCAGAAAGCACAATCTGCATTATGTGGAGCTACATACAAGGACATAAAAATTAAAACATACACATACACCACCAAACTAGTTAATCTCGACCAATCAAACCTCTGAACGTGTCTTCAATTTTGATCATCAGTGCTTCAGAAGAACATACATAGACCCAGCCCAGGGTTGGCCTTTGGGGTCCTAGAGCATTCGCAGAGCAGGAGATTCACCCTTGGAAGCAACTGAACATGTAAACTCAGAGGGCAGGCGCTGACTACACGACGCCTGCATACCTGGCTCTGGGGCTGCCCGCCTTCTCAGCAGAGCCCAGCAAGGCCCCATGTGCTGCTTTGACCAGTGAGGATGGCTGGCCTTAGCTGTGTCTGAAGGAGACAGGTCATCACCCTGGTTGGAAGAAAAGCTATGTGTATAAAGGAGGAGGGTGGCTTCTAGTCTGGTTCAAGTCATTTTTTAGAGTCATTTCAGAATGACAAGTTGGCTAAAATTTACCTTAAAGGGGAATGTAAAAATATTGTTTCTTTTCCTACCCTTCTTCCTTTTCCATCCTAAGCTTAGACTCCAGCAGAGCCTGCTGAAGCTCAAGGGTTCTTGGTCAGGTTACATGTTACCAGACGGTCAACAGGGAAGGATCCATTGCGGATTCCAAATGTCTTTCATTTGCTTAACTTAAGTGGCTCCCTCCATGAGTACATGAAGAGTTTGAGCTCTAGCAGTTTGCTGGTGTTCCCATGTCTCTTAGAAAAATGAAGGCTATACACTTATCAAAATAAATGCCTAGGGGATTTGGAAACCATGACAAACCACTTTGCTCTTGGAATCCACTGAGAGCAGAGGACACCTCCTATCAAAGCCACACTCTGTTGGCTTTTCACAGGACTCCCTGTGTGTTCACAGTTGGCTGCATTCCCTTAACTTCAATAATGGCAATCTTTGCCTTAGGAAAAAACAAAAAAAAGACGACTGATTTCCTTCCCTTTGTCCGTGTCCCCCTCCCAGGCGGTATCTCCCCTGGGGGAGGGAGAGGAAGGTGTATTCCTCTTTGGGCTGGCTGGGTCTTGGAAAGTAGGTTGCCACGTTCATGATGTTCGGTTCTGGTGTTCTGGGTGGGCAGAGGATCAGCAGGGAAGGGACAGGATGGGCAGATGAGGGATGAGCTGCCATTTGGCTCGGAGTCCCTCGGCCAAAGCACTTGGGAGACTTCTCTTGGTAGCTTGCTTCAGTAGGTGAGAAGTTGTCAACGAGTCCAGTGAGGGAGACTGAAGGTTCCAAAGCAGAGATTTCCCTGATCTTTATGTTCTCGATAATCCCACTGAAGAAGGATTTCATTCAGTGGCCAAAACAAAAATTTGTAATTCCACGACACCTTGAAATTTCAAAGAAAAGCAATATTTCCCTCGAAAGCAAAGTAAAAACCGTCACAGTATAATCAGAGTTAATCAGGATAATGAGATGAGGAGAGAAAGGAAAAATGTTTTAATGTGAAGGAAGAGATTTGTGGTCCCATAGAAGCCAACCATGGAGGCCTCCTCGTGCTGTCTTTCTGGGGGCTGAAGCATCTCAGCCCTAGCCCAGGCCGACGTCCAGTGACATCATCACCACGAATCCCAGGATGGAGGCCCAGGATGCCAGTTTCCCGTTACCACTGGGAGGGAAGGGGAGGAAGGAAAGAAAGACCTTAATGCCTCCTGACACTGTCTGGGCTGAAAGCATCCTCTGCAACGTCCAGTCCCAACAGAAAATGCTCTCCTATTAATGATGGTGACGTTTACTGGGACCTACTATATGCCAGGCAAACTGAATAACCCATGTAGTCCCAAACAACAACCTCACGAGGTCAGTATCATTATTACCCTAATTTTACTGGTGGGGAAATTGAAGCATAGAGACGTAACCTGCCCAAGGTCACCTATTATGGCTCTGGAGCCCATGCTTGGATAATAAAGAGTGGTGACTATTTCTTGAAGATATTATCTAACCTGACTTTATTATTTTATCTGAGCCTCAAATTTATTCTGCTATGAAAACCAAAATGAAATGGAGTAAGCCCCACCCCCCAGCACCTGGCCTACAGGTGGACAATGAGAACGTGTATATATCGCTTGGGCTGACATTTTAGAGCTCATCTCTCCTCTTATTCCAGCCCCAGAAAAATCTAAAGAAAGAGACAATGTACAAAAATGATAGTCTGCTTCACCAGAGGGACAAGTGGCAGGTGTGTATGCCACTGGCTAGTATCCCTGTCTCTTACCCTTTGCTCCTCTGTTAGTTTCAGAGAGAACAGTTGAGGAGGGGGTGGCCATGGTCTTGGGAAGGGGTAGGAAGGAGTGGGAATAAGGAAGTGAGAGCAAATGAGGAAAAAGCAGATCCCAAGGCTGGGCCAGGACCAGGACAGGACCAGGCAGGGAGGGGAAGCTCTCCCACCTGATCTGGGCTTCAGGGATGATGTCGTCCATGACCACGTAGATCATGGCGCCAGCAGCAAAGGCCAGTGCATAGGGCAGGATGGGCTCGGCCAGCGCCACGGCAAAGGCACCAAAGACCCCGGCTAGGGGCTCCACCATGCCACTCAGCTGCCCGTACCTAAGGAGAGAACAGAGACAGGTCCCACTGCACGGAGAGTCAGGCAGATCCTCCATGTGCCCAGACTGTTGATTCCACCCTAGAGCACGGATGCATGCCACTCCACCTCATATCTGAGCACGGCGGTGCAAAAGCACATCATGTTTTCTAACCACCTCCTTCTCCTTCCCTAACTCCCCAGGAACAGTTACAGAAGAGCCCCCCCATCCCCAATTATCTTCAGAGCTTTAGGTTTTCTACACGGTCTGTAAAAAATAACAGCATTATTGAGACATAATTCACACACCATATGACACGCCCATTCAGTGTATACGGGTCGGTGGTTTTCATTATATTCACGAGGTTGTGCAACCATCACCACGATCTAATTCCAGAACATTTTCATCGCCCCAAAAAGAAACCCCATACACATTGGCAGCCACTCCCACTTCTCCCTCCCCCACAGCCCCTGCAACCACTAATCTACTTTTATTTCTTTATGGATTTGCCTCTTCTGGATAGTTCGTATAAATGGAATCATGTAACGTGTTCCTTTTCGACTGGCTTAATCACTTAGCATCACGTTTGCAAGGTGTGTGCGTGTCGCAGCGTGGATCGGTGTCCAATTCCTTTCTATGGATGGTAACGTTCCATCGCGAGGCTACACCAACGTTATCCACCTGCAGGTGGATGTCTGCATCGTCTTTTGAGCGATAGGACACTGATTAGGAACCGTATGGGCATTTCCCAAGGCCAGTTGTACCTGGCATGTTTGGGGGTTGAGGCCACAACTGTATGTACCCCTTTTGAAGGGGCTGCACTCATTTACCTCCACTGAAGAGTTGGGCCTACCTGGAGTTGGGGCACCTCTCTCGCTATCCCTTGCAGTGAGGGTTTGGCAAGCTAGACTCCCTCTGAGCCTCGGTCTATCCATCTGTAAAATGGGGTGAGAGATGTCTGTCTGTCTGGCCCCTCCACATGGCAGGAAGGTAACGAGGGCAACTTGTGGGGACTGTGGATTTCACCTCCTGCTGCTTTTCCCTGGCCAGAGCAGACGGGGGCATGGAGGAGACACTGTTTGTGCTGCGGAGTCCTCTAAGGGGGCCACTGCTTCCTGGCCCCAGGCTTTTATGCTCAGGCCAGCAGAACCCGAAGCTCTTTGGTTTGTACAGTTCCTGGCCTTGGCTTTGTAGCATCAGGAAAAAGTGGGTTTGATGTCAAGCCCGGACTGGAGTGGGGAGAAAAAAAGCTTCATCCCAGGGTCTGATGCTGACCACAGGTGCGCCATGCCTCTCCTCATCTCCCCAGTGCCTCAACTGCACGAAATGACAGTCGTGGTTTTCACACTTCAAAAAAATCTCTAAGGCCACCTTGCTCTGGCCACGTCCAAATCCACCATTCCATAGACTCCAGCAATGGAGAAAAAGATGACAAGGGTAGAAATGCAATAATTTATGGGCAGGAACTTGTAAATCATAAGGCCCTATGAAATGGAAGGCATTTAAAAATGGTCATTAGCAGTTCTTTTAAATGCTCTTACCGCACATTCTAGAGTAGCAATTGTTTTAACAAAGAAGTATTCTGAGGCTCAGGGTCGACGTTGAAAGGGTACAATTAAGGAGGGACACACTAGAAAGTCCTTTGGGGAAGATGAAAATACTGGGTATGAGCGCAAAGTCATCATCACCCCAGATGCTGTCGACATGGTCCTGTCTTCACTCTGATGGAGTTATGAGAGGAGTTACTGTAATGTCTCTTGGGGACAGGCAGCAGGAACGTAAGTGTAAGTTAAGGCATCTGACATTTGGAGTGGGCAGAAGGTCTGCCTTGGTTCTCCCTACCCGGGGCACGAGAACCCAGCACTGATGGCCGTGGCTGTCCACAGAAAGGTTCTGAAATAGGAAGCCCAGCCACTCAGGCCAGTTCCGGTACAGGCTGCAGGTCAGGAGATGAGACCCCCGAGCCTTGGAGGTGTAGGTTTACCTGGATTATTGGTGTTTTACCAGAAGCTCCAGATTCGCTTCTAGGTCAGAAGAGGTTGTTTAGCAGTGCTCAGCGGACGCTCTGAGCACTTGGCAGACACGACCCTGCCCCCGGGCAGCTGGCGCAGAGCCGCAGCACTCACCAGAAGGCTCTCCAGGTGGAGAAGCCCGCCCCTCTCAAGGGGAGACTGACCGCCAGGCCCTCGGGGAAATTCTGGATTCCGATTCCAACGGCCAAATTCCTGAAAGACCAAGAAGGCACATGAAGGCTGCTGCCTGGAACTGTGTCCCACACAATGGGATCTCCTGGCCGAGGCCCCAAGCTCTGCTTTGGTACCAGGGAGCCAGGAGTGACCTGAGGCAGGAAGAAGGAGAAGGAAGGTAGGGGCGCACATGTCATGGAGATCAAGGGTTGCAGGAGGGAGGGACACAGGTCCTCCACCCGTCCTCCCATCACTCTATCCTTATGGTGCTTCAGCACAGCAGAGAACACACTGTCTGGCTGTCAGGGTGGCTGAGTTCTGCCACTCGGCTGTGTAACTGCAGTTTCTACATCCCACTGTCTACACCTCTGCTTCTTCTATACAACTCGGGAATGACACCATGACCATAGAGGATTGCGCAGTGACCCAGTAATGCCTGCAACGTTCCTAGCACACGCGAGGTACTCAGTGCATTTTGGTTTCTATTCTCGTATCCTATCTTATCCAGAAGTAACTTCAGAAACGGGACAACGCAGCGCAGGTGCAGAAGCCGATGGCGACCCAGATCCGGCTCTGGGCTCGGCTTCTCCGTGGACTCTCTGGGTACGTCTGGCACTGTCACTGCACTGCTTTGGGCCCCGATGGTGCTCACTGTGGTCCCCTCACCTCCCGCCTCTGCAGGATCCCCAGGTGCTATGCTGGTCGGTGCTGTCCCTGAGAGCCTGCTCTGCACACAGGCCGGGTGCGAAGGGAGGGAGAGCAGAATGAGAAGGGCACAATCGCAATCCATGGCCGGTGCCTGGCCCCAGGGGCTTGTGATTTAGCAAGGGAGACATGCACGCATATCGGTAAAGAACCCTCGTTGCGCATGCTGCTAACTCCTGCAAGTCTGCCAAACGTCAGCTCACAGAGGAAGCAGGGGCGTGATCAGAGGGAAACCAGGGTCATCTGAATGCCACAGCAAGGCCATCTTGGGGTGTCTCTCCCCAGGTGGGACTCTGCTTTGGCCGGACAGCTCCAAGGAGCAGCCCCTCCATGAAGGCCTGTCTGATCAACAGAGATCTCAAGGGCATGAGAAGAGGGTGTCCCTTGGCAAGTGACACTGGGATGTGGCCTGAGGGAGTTGTGGGTCGAACAGAAAGAAAAGGGAGACTCCGCCGGTACCTGGCTTTCAGGTCATCTGGCTCGTGTCCGGGCACCTTGCTGTCAATAGGAGTCCGCCCACTGGCTCGGACTGAGGCAAGGGAGAGCTGGAGACAGCAGTGGGGCCCACCCTGTCCTCCCTGCCTGCCCACCCATGGCTCCCAGCACTGGGGCACACCCACAGCCTTGAAGGTACCCTCGGGCCAGCTCTGTTCAGGGCCCTCTGCTTCAGCCTCCAGCAAAGAACACCAAGGATAATGCCAGCGTTTAATGTCTACTCTCCATTTTGAGAGCTTGCACCGCACCCGTGTTCGCCTTTATCCCCCAACGCAAGCACACAAGCTTCATCGGGTGCCACGGCTCCCGACTCCTCAGGCCGAGGGAGCCCCCACCCCGGGGCTTCCGGTAGTCCCAATCTGTCCCAGTCCAACAGGGGGTTAGGAGGATGAGGAGAAATCAGATAGGATCAAAAAAGAAATCTGGCTAGAGATTTTTAGGAAGCAAAGTGTTGTTCTGGTCCTTTGCGTTTAAATGCGTGTGTGTGCATGGTGGTGGGCCCTGCTTGGCCATCTGACTCTTCCTCCCCATCGTTGCCCAGCCAGTCTCCGGGGCAGGATAAAGGGTCAGGAGTTCCCTTTCACACCTCGAAAGCCCCGGGGCTCCCCTCTTCTGTTGCTCTGCCAGGGAGGGTGACTGGCTGTGGGATCAGAGTTAATAAACTCACTTCTTCTTGCCTCCTGGGGCCCGGGTCTACGAATCCAACTGTAGCTTTGGAAGACACTGCCAACCCCTGCTCAAGATGTAGGACCCCAACAAGCATGTTCCAACCGGCCGTGGGCAGAAATACAGCTTGTTCCAGCAGCTTCTGCTACCAGTCTCATGTCCAAGCTGATCCCAAGCGCCCACCCCAGGAGCAGGAGGCAGCTGAAATATATTTGTTGAAGAAGCTAACCTTAAGGACAACTTCTTGCCAACATTTCCTGAGCCCCTGCCCTGACTTCTCAGACAGACCCTGGTAGTTGGGCCCACTCCCTGCAACCTCATTCAGTCTCCCCTTGCAGCTCCCCAAATGGTTGAGTGAATATAACCAGCTTTTTTGACCTCTTGCAAAGCCCCGAGTCCAAGGTTTCTTCCGACGAGGAAGGCCGAGGTCTTGTCTGAGGTGGGCTGGCTCACAGTCCGCGGCCATCCCCTGACCCCACATTCTCAGGCAGCTGCATGACTTACCCCAAGTGTAACCACGCTATCTCCAGCCCAGTGTCACAGCAAGTCAGGGGTGGAGCTCCCTGTCCAAAGTCCTTGCCATGACGCAGCACCCACTACAGCCATCCGCCAGGCCGGCGGTGGGAGCCTCCTCCACATCCTGCCCGGGAGCCACCGTCCTGATAAGCAGCACAGAAACCCCATTCTTCCACCCCTGGCAAGCCTTGTTGCCTCTGCCCTGCCCAGCTCTGGCACGGGGCTGCCAGCCCAACCAGGTGCCGCACCCTCTGGGTCCTGCCAGGCCTTTCTGAGCACGGCATCATCTCGCTGAGTGATCACAGGGTCCCTCCTGTGCTTTGTGCCGCACAGTAAAGGCTGGGACCACAACTTCTCTGCCTTTCCCACCTTCATACACGACCTTTCTTAATTTGGCTTTCCCCAATACACACACGCATAAACATACATGCACACATAAACATGCACACATGTGCACACACATGCATATACTCACATACACACACATATACATGCACACACACACTGTATGTGCGGTCTTGGCATGGGCCATCCATGTTCCCTCACCCCGCTGCATGCTGTGCACCTGTTAGGTGTCGACCAGGTAGGGGTGACCCAATGGAAGGGCCCAGTCCCCTCACATCCTCTACTCCTCGCCACCACTGGCATCTGCTCAGGATGCAACTTGAATCCACAGCTCTCAAACCTGACTACAAGTTCCAGCCTCCAGGAGCTTTGCCAAATGCCAATGCCTGGGCCCCGCCCCGGAGATTCTGATTAATTGCTCACCTCCTGCATCTTCCTCCTGCTCGGTACCTCCCACCCCTGCCCCAGTTAAAAGTCAGGGCCGTTGGAGGTGGCCTGGCCTAGTACCTTTGGAGGCCCTGTGACATGCAGTTCCAAACACATCTGGGTGGGACCCCCAGGTGACCCAGGGCGAGCTACAAGAAACTCAGCCTCTGCTTTGTCTCTAAAGTGGGTGTACAACTGCCCCACTTGCAGGGCTCTTGTGCAGATGGGAAACGACCACTGTGAAGTACCAGTCCCAGCTCAGAGCCCAGCGGGTGCTCCTTAAATGGCAGCTGCTGTTAAAGTTGCCCAAGACTCCTCAATGAGGCAGTGCTGAGACTGGCACTCAGGCTCCTATTCCCCCGGCCTGGTGACCTCCCAGCCTCACGCCAATCTCTTGTCCAACGGGTGCTCCTCAGCTTTCTCAATTTTGTGACCTTCTGGGCAGAGCCATGTCCTGCAGTAGAACTTGGCCAGCGGGGAGCCTCTCCCCAGGAGTCGCTCCAGAATCAACCACCAAGCCCTGGACATGTGTACAAGCTCACGCCACACATGAAGAAGACGTCAGGGACAGCCTGCCTTCAAGGGGCTTGCAACGTCACAGAGGGCAAAAAGTCCTGCCTGCAAATCACTACAGCCCAGCACGGAGCTGGCCAAAGGCCATAAGAGAAGCCCAGAGCATAGAGGGAGGGTGATATTCTGGTAGAGAGAGATGCTCTAGGAAACCTTCATTAAAAAGGTGACACTCACGACGGACTTTGGAGGATGGGGGCAATTTTATAGCAATAAATAAAGACAGGAAAATGCATTTCCTACAGGAAGAAGGAACAGAGTAAGCAACGCTATAGGATCTGGCAGGGTGAGCTGGGTCTTCCTTTCTCTCCCCTTCCCCACGTCAAAAGCCAACATACAAACAAAACCAAAGAATGTGCTGGAGCCCAAGCCTCTCTCTCTGTCATCCGTCCTCTGTGAATCTTTCCCACCTGAGTCTGCGGGCTTTGTTAGGGAAAATCTGAGTGTTAAACAACCCAGCCCCACCTCAGGTGTCTTCCCAAGGCCAAATGCATGAGGTTCTACCCCAGGGCCCTCCCATCTTCAGGAGGCAGACCCCTGTGTTCAGCGAGTGGCCGGCGGGGTTGGGCGCAGGTTCCCTTGAAGTTCATTTAGTAGCCGTCTCCACTCACACTTTTGACTTAAGAACGTCTCAGGCCTTGAGCATGGGAAAAGCTTCCAGGCCATGTTGGCGGCAGCACAGAGCATGTGCCAAGAGCCACGCACAGCACTACAGACCCCGCTGCAACAACCTGCGGCTGAAACCAGCTCACGTCTTTCGTTACCACACCCGTCAGAGGAAGACTGAGGTCCTCCGGCTAGAAAAAAAATGACGATAACCATTGCTGCCGCTGACTGAGTGTCACTCAGTGCCAGGCGTGGCTGTGAGCGTTTGACACGTCGCAACACGCTTTGCTCCCTCAACCACCTCGCAAGCGGTTTCCATCATTATTATTCCCATTTTACAGATGGGGAAACTGATGCACAAGGAGTTAAGTAACTGGTCCCCAGGCTGCCCAGCTGGGAAGTGACAGAGCGGGACCTCTTAACCGCTACCGTTTATGCTCCGGGTTTCCTGGGCCTCGCGCAGACCCGTCAACGTATAATCATAGAGAGATGGTTCCCCGGGCTCAAAAGCCCAGAAGGGAGCAGGCACTGTCTTAGGCCTACTCAGCTAGTGAGCTGCGGTTCTGGCCAAGTAGGACAGCAGGCCAGGCGGGGGGAGATGTGAACCAGAGACCTCCAGGGTTTAAAGGAGTCAGAACAGCTCTTCCACAGTGGGGTTTCTCAATGTCATCACTCCTGACATTTCGAGCCACCAATTCTCTGTTGCAGGG